GGGGGGGATTTACTGGAGAGGAGAAAGATTGTTCTAGGTGTGAATCTCCACAACATTAATCAAAGACTACTAGCTGACAGCAGGCTACGGCGAAGGCGTACACGCCAAAGAGTAGAGTTCACCAGAGATCCGGGTCGATGTGGTCGAGGAGATCCACAGGGAAAGGTTTAAGGTTTGCAGTTGCTTCTTCTTCACTGTTGTTGAAGCTGTGCCCCGGTGGAGGTGGATATGGGCCAGCCGGTTCAAGTAGCAAGACACGCACGCGGTCATCTGGCGCGCAAGCAACGGGACCACATCTAGTAAGCATGGTGTTTTTCTTAGGTGTTCAGATGACAGATGACAGGTCTTTCAATTCATCCTCATGGCAGCAAACCTTATTATATAGCCATTTAGCATAGATACCATTTCACTCATCAATCCTCGTCATGACGCAACATATCACAAAAGAAAAGCATTAATGTAACATATACAGGATAACCATTTCGAGCAAGATAGACGGCCCCCATCTCAACTTTTCATCTCCGATCCTGGATTTTCCCAAGAAAGCGATGACCCCAAGCTAAAGAATGCCTCCCAACGCCTTCGTCACGTTCAGCTCTACGCTGAGTGTGTTAGCAGCTAGAGCGTCGGCGAAATACGATAGTTCCTCGCCGTTGTAGACGCTCGAATTGCCGACAATGTCAACGGGAAGCATCAAAGTGGGATAACTACCAAGCATGCCTGCCACGGTGAGGGTGCTAACGTTGGCAGTCATGGGAAGGGTATTGTTGCCGGGGCGGATGGTGAGGTCGGTCAGGTAGGATTGGCCAATAGCGGTGCCATTGACGGATAGGTCAAGTGTGACATTGCCCTAGCGAAAGCATTAGCTACTGTAGACAGCGCGAACTAAATGATAAGCAGAGACAGGGTTCTAACCAAAGTGAGTGTGAAGGGCGAAGGGTTGGGAATGTAGACGGTCCCTTTGCCATTATTTCCACTCTTCGCAGAAGTCGAGATGGTAAGATCGACTAGGTCGAACCCCTTGAGTTTGTTGAGACCTGCTGACTGTGAGCCAATGCGTTGAGTTCCAGAGGTGAATGCCGTACCCTTGATGGTTGTTGTCTTATTGTATGTGATCTTCGTCTTGGGCAGGCTACCCTCTTTCAGATCAGCCTTGCCGTACACATTCATCTGGATCTCCTCATTTAGCATGACCGCCTTGCTAAACTCGGTAAATGCCGCCACGTCGGTGATGTTAACGTCTTGGTCGACATCGACCTGGACGCCATCATGTGCTTTGAATTTGGGGATCTGAACTGTGATGAAGGGAGCTCCGCCCAGTAGACTGATGGCGGCACCGAAGGAGTAGATGTTGGGCTTGAAGGCGCTGCTAGACCCGATAACCTGTGTCTCTCGCAAATGGAAGGAATTGGGGGTCGGATCACTGATTGCCATGCTAGTGATATTCAAGGTTGACTTGTTAATATCATGCTGGGCAATGTTGGGGTATCCAACGTAAACTCTGGTTCGATCATGTCAGGCTTGAACGCAATAGTTGTCAGTGAAGAAAGGATAGCAACATACACCGGCAGCACCACCACCAGCACCACCACAATCAAGATGATGAGGTGCACCCACCACCACCGCTTGAAATGAGCCGCAACGCGGCTCCCGAAACTGGGCTTTGTCGCAGCGGCGGCCGGCACAGTGCCGGTCTCAACGACATGGGGCTTGCTGTCACTTGCCATGCTGAGATGGGGTTGTCTGTGTCTTGCTGGTTAGCTGGGGATGGATGATGTCTGTGTGACATATGCGGGGTCTTTCACCTCCCAAGCAGAAAGAAGAGCCCGGCCCGAGAGAAGTGAGCTGGGACAGAAAATGTTTCCTTCAGAAGTTGCACAGCGCCAGTGTCGAGGGGTCTTAAGCAAGGATCAATAGACTGCAACGAGATCAGTCTTAGCCGCGATGGCACAAGAGCAGCTTTTAATCGGAGATGGATCTGGAATGATGCGGTACATACATAGCTCAACTTCCAGTCAAGTGACACGCAGGGGCAGCAGGAGATTAAAGTTGACCGAGAAACCACGGTACCCACGAGGGCAATTCGAAAAGTCTCTGGCAAGGGATGACAATCACCAGAAACGGATTTGAGACCGACTAAAAAAACAGCGGTTCTCCCCCCTAAGTACCCCGACGATAGATCTGGGTCTCGGAGGAAGGAGTGCGATCTTCACATGTTATAGACAACAGCAATATGTCCGACAAGAATGGAACGCCGCGGACCCTCTTCAAGCGGAGCGATGCTTAGGCAGACTATGCAGCTGGCGGCGCCGCTACCAATTAGCTGGATGTAACAGTGCAAGAAGCGAGCCAGCAGAGACTATCCCTGCTCCGCACTTAGCATCCCGCGGGTCGATCGAGGTAGGTTCAGATGGAGGGTCGTTCGCCACGCGCTCCCAGCAAACAGCTTATGATGAACTGATGAACATGTCTGCAGTGTGCCAGTTGACCTGCAGCTTCCGGCTGTAGGTAGACTATGAACCGAGGCTGAGATATAATCTTTTAACTTCAATCCAGTCGGAGGAAGGAAGCGATTGGGAAGGAGGAGGAAGAGGGGAAAGACGACAAACAAGCTAGAATGACCAGTCGGGGAAAGCTAAAAGTGAGCCAAGGTTTGTGAGCACGGGGACTGGAAATCTGGAAGACCCAATTTCCCCCGGACGATCAGGGCTGACTGGGGGTGGTGGGGGGGAGGAGGGCCTTCTGGGGGGCCAGCTGTTGTGGGACAGAACCGCCGGAGCGATGCAACTAAACTGCTAGAGGAATTTCCAATGAATCCCATTTAATCAATAAAGGCGACAATCCCTGGACAATCCCTTAAGTAGTGTGGCTGCTGTGACTGCTTTCGGCCACTGCTCCGATGGCTCTGACGATCTGCAACCAATAATGGGCAGGAGTTGGAAGTCCAGGGATGTTTGTAGACATGTCTTGGAACCCCCGGAAAGTCACGGAGATTGCCAATCAGACAAGCGAGCGACAAATTGATGAGTGGAGAAGTGAGGGAAGGTAATTGATGATTGATGATTGATGATGGTAAGATAGGTGGAGGAGGGGGGAGGGAACGGAGTAAAGAAAGGAATGTAAGCGGGCACGCGGACACCCCCGCCCGAGTAAGTTCCCGCCTTCCATAGGTAATTAGACATAGCACTCATGCATAGTCTCTGTTAGAACTGTTAGTTAGTTTGTCAGTTATAGTCCAGTCCAGCCCTTCCCATTTTGACTCTTTTTCCCTTTTCTTCCCTCCCTCCCTCCCGATTTGCTTCTCTCCCATGACTGAAAGTAAAAGTGACAATAGAAAGTTGATCTTCCCAATCCTTAAACTCTCTCAAACCGATTTCCTTCTAAGTTGTGTGACATACTTAAATCCACAAGCTGCTTTTCTCGCCGTAGCATCGCATTCTACATCACTTCGATTCTCAGTCAACGTCCAAAACTGAAGCCTCGACGGTGGTTTCATATTCCCTGCAGTCCCAAATCAACCATGGCTGCAATCCTACCCAGCCAAGCCCAGGTACTAGACACTAGAACCTTGAAGATTTAAATTAAATACGCGGCCAAGCAGGGACCATGCGTACCCATGGCAGAGGAATTGCTGCTGCTGTCTAATCGCAATAAATAAGATAAATCGTTTCACCAGCTTGGACGTTGGCCGATAACGCTCACTCGGCTCTAGAGGATAAGATATACTTTGTGTAAAAGAAGGTACTTGAGAAGATAGGCAGGTTGGAACGAAAGTGTGGGACCCAGAGGGTTGCAAGGCCGGAGTCAATTAAACAAAGGAGAGTCACGAATCGAAATATCACACAGTGATTAGGGGCTAATGATGGGTATCCAAGAAACGAATTTCGATGCCCGCAAATTGGTTTCCAGAGAACTGATGCATGATCGTTCTCCGGGCCAGCATTCGGAGCAGTTGGCAAGGCCTGCTCAAAGATAGGGATGAAATGGTGAGACAAAAAGAGACACTGACCCACAGCAAAGGCCTGGGAAACGCAGATAGGCAAGTCGAAATTTTCGATTTGCCAAGCAAGTTGCAAGTGAAAATCGACGGGGGAAGCATGATTGAGCCACAAGGGAAGTATAAAATGAGAAAAATGAATGGGAATAGTAGGAATGGGTGAAATGTACCTCACGGGGTCGATGTCGCAACGAGGCAAGTGGATACTTGAAAATAAAAAAAGGGGGGAGATAGAATATGTAACGAAGAAGATAAGGTGACAAACGAAGATGCACAAAGTAAACATGTGCAATGATACTACCAACACCTTGCGGTGGTAGGACACGGCTTTTTTTTTTCAGTTGCTAGTGAACGCTTTGATCTCGAAAGAAGGCAGCACAGATCTCAGGCCTCAGTAGCAACTGATTTCTTCCGGTGGAAGAGACTGCGAGTGCGGGACTTGCTGCGATTTTTCTTGTCGGGGGTGTTACCAGATCGTTGACTGCGACCACGACCGCGCGAATTGGAGCTCGGGTTGTCGTCCGACATATACTTGTCCTTGTAAATCCTGGAAAAACGAATAGTCAGCCAAAAACGTCCATTTCTGATAATGCATGTTATAAACGTACCAGCTATTCCCAACCATGTTGATTCCCTTTGCCTCCGCTTGGCGATAGAATTTCGCAGCCTTCTTTAGGTCCTTCTTACAGCCAATGCCTTCTGCGTAACAGAACCCGGCCTCCGCGAGCGCATCACCATCGCCCCATTGACCCGCAATCTCGAAACAGCGTAGGGCCAAAGACTTGTCCTGTTCGATACCCCACCCGTTCAAATGACTCACGCCAAGTTCGTAGATACTGAGGGCGAATTGGGCTCGGTAAGCCTTCTGAAGTTCTCTCATGCGAACAGGTATCGACGGATTGGAGTCATCCATAAGCTCTAATCCGACGGAGTCCACAGCCTTGCGCAACCAACGTACACCTTCTTGCTGATTCGGCCGCATTCCCCAGCCATGACGGCAGGCTAACGCATAGAGCAACATCCCCGTAGGATGATTCTGCTTGGCCGCTATGCGAAGGTGGTACGTTGATTCATTGAGGGATCCTTTCTCGTGACATTCGATACCCTTGGTTACGTGCTCATCCGCTGTGATGGGCGCTGATGTAGTCTGTGTCCTGGCTGTCTGCGGGCGAATAGTGGACTCAGAGCCAGCAGAAGAAGTGGTATCGGCGTTGTCATTCCTGGCTATTTCGGACTCCAACTGCGCGGGTGGTGCAGGTTCGCTCAATGGTGGCTCTGATGGTATAGTTTCTGCCGTAGCAGACTCGGTGGATGTCCGCCTTGGAGGTGTTGTACGATCGCTGGGCGAAAGAGATGTCGCCTGCGGTAGCGGCGGCTCAGGGGTCAAAAGCCTCCGAGACGAGCTGGGTGATTCCTGCATAGAGCGCGACTTGGAAAGTACTGACTCTTTGCCTGATGGTGATGGGGACGGAGTACGCCGAGATCGAGAAGACTCCGCAGGGGCTTGACGATCGGGACTCTCAAACAGCGGTTCTTGCCATTCAAAGTGCGGTGTCTGCAGGCCTGAGAAGACAACTGAATCACGGCAGACGGCGCGTCCTCGAGGTAAAGCATACTTTGTATGGATGTAAGATGACACAGCTGAGGAGGGATCCTCGTGCGGATGTAACGCCAAATCGGATGGAGACGGCACCCTGATGGGGCTGGGCTTGTGTCCGCGGTTAATGGTGCTCTGTATGCCTTCCGATGAGCACACCGGTCCGGGAGCCGAAAGACTCGTGCCAGATCGACTCAACGGCCGAGAGAAATTATACGACGGGCGAGACAGACCCCCGTAGTTTGAAGTTTCCGAGCTTATGGATGGAGATCGAGGATGAGACCGAATTTGAACATTGGACATGGGCGAGTAAGGCATAGACATTGCACTGCTGGAGGACATTTTTCGTGGCTTAGAGAACGTCGAGCCGGCAGTTGAGCTGCTATAATCATCATCCGAGCTCTCGAATTGGCCAGCTCGGGAACCACTCGATGGCCGCGAGAGAAGAGAGGCTGACGGAGTCAATCCACGCGACGGAATGTTTAAATGAGAAGCTGAATCGGTAGACGAGGTTCGGGACGGGGGCATCACAACCACCCCTGCCGGAGGCGTGCGGCCCTCCGAAAGAGCACAGGAGGGGGCAACGGAATAGAAGCGACGGGGTCCTTCGGGGGCACTGTATGCACTGATGTTGTCCGGAGAATCGGAGCGGGGCAAGTCAAACACATCAGCAGTCGATTCCTTCCTTGGGGTGGCATCGTCATCTTCTGTTTCCTCCGGCATCTCGTGTTGTTCTTCTTGCGCCTCCGTTTCATCTGGTACTTCACTTGACAGGTGTGAGATGGCGCTGAGCCGCGGATGTTCGGACTGTGGGCGAAACTTAGGCTCCTCCACCTCGGGATTCATCTTCTGCGTCGGCTGTCTCGACAACTCATTGCGTCTTCCCCCGCGAGCATCGCTAGTAGAAGCCGAGCGAAAATAACCCGGTCGTGGCTGCGAAAGGGAGCGTGCCACGCTGGAGGGAGGCAATCGGCTCATGCGACGGTTCCTCCGAGCGGATTCCTCCAACTGGCGGGCTAGAAGGCGGCCTTGGGCGGCAAAGGCATCGAGCGGGGAGAGCGCGGGAGGAATTTCACCATCGTAATGCTCAATGCGCGGGGAGGGCGCCCCGCTGCGGAGGGTATCATGGGAGGGGGAGCGAATTTCACCAAATCTGGGCCGGGCGGCCATGGTCGTACCCAATTGTGTCCGTCCAATTGCTGCGATCACAGAACTCAATTCATCCAAATGTCACCACAAGAGCTCGATTACCAACTTGTGAGGTAATCAGGTCCATTAATTGAGGATCAATGGTTTGAGTATTTGGCAAACAATCGACCGACTCGCACAAGCGAAGTGAAAGCACAATCAAGCGTTGACCTCAGGGCGTGCGACAGGAGTTCTTTGCATACAGGTCGGAGTAGATGCGATTTGGAAGTGCGCCGAGCGAAGTTGCAGAGGACAACGGTGGACGGACGACAAAAGGAATGACAGCCCCGTGGGGTGGAACGAGGATTGCGGCAAGTGAGGGGAACTGGGCGCAAGTAGGCAATTTCAAGCGAATGAGCCTGGATTCAGAAGTCGAAGAACAGGAGACGGAGTAGATGAGGGGCGCGGTTGATTATTTGGCGGCGATGGCGGTGGCGGCGACGGTGGTGAGACAACTGTTGGGTGTTGGAGACCTGTACCGTACTGAGCGAGAGAAGTGGGTGAGTAGTAGGTCGTGATATGTACAGTACTGGCAAGACGAAGAGATGCTAATGAAGCATCATGGGTGAGGGAGGGGAGGGGAATAAGATCGAGGAACAAACACAACACAGGATGTCAGCAAGCAGAAAGAAGAAAAAAAGAAAGATTGGTGTAAAAATAAGACAAAGAGAGAGAAAGAAAAGAGAGGAAGAGAGAAAGAGACCAAGGAACTAACGACTCTGGGGGGGGGGGAGCCAGTTACTTGTTACGCCCTGACGATCGCCAAACCAGAACCGGTGTTCTGGGCAGTCTCCACGCTTTCTGTGCTATGATTGTATTTGCTGCTGCTGCTGCTGCTGCTGCTGCCGCCGCCCGTAACGTCATTACAGCCTGCAGTGCTGCAGTTCTGCAGTCTGCAGGGGCCGGCCCCTATTCAGGGGGAAATCAATTACTGTACAGACATTCACTCGCTGTAACGTATTGCATACTGAGCACTAAAGAATAGAAGATGATTATGACAGCTTCTCCCTCTCCCCCCCCTCTCCTTCTCCTCCTCACCCTTACGTTATGGACTGGGCTGCTCACTGCTTGGCATTTACATGGATCCAGTGAGCCAAAGAGGAACTTCCCAGATAGGCGATATTTGTGGGTTTCCTGATACTTATGTGACTTACTCGTATAAACCAGCTGTCTTTCTGTCCTGGAGGAGCACACGGCAGACAAACTCACAATATTCAAATCATTGAAGAGATCGCATTGTCTCTGTATCTCCTGGTGTATCCACGTCTTAATGCGACCGTCGCCATCCAGACTAATTGGATTGATGCGCCGCTTTCTTCTAGGTTTCCCTCTAGCTCTTCATATCCTCCACCGGAATCAGTCAGGGGCCGCATCGATGGTTGTGGCATTATTGTTCGGTTTATTGAGGGCGCTCGGGAAAATCCCCAGCTTCTAGAAGCGATGGGTCGAACTTTCGCCCATCACGATTCACGAAACATCGGCCAGTGTCGCGCTGTCTTGTCACTACGCACCGCTACTGGGTGATAGTCGGGTTCACCCTTGGGGAGGCGACTGCACAGTGGGGTCCGAACCAGACTTTGAGTTACTCTATTTTACTATTTTTAAGTCGATGTCCTCTCGTTTCTATTTCCCCCCCTCTCCTCCTGCCGTTTCTTCGTATTCCCCCGGTCGCAATGGCAGCTCGAGTTTATTTGGATTTAGATAGATGCGAGATGCGGAGAAGAGCTGCCATGGAGTGGCTGTTGGTGCCGCTTCATGTTTCTCTGGGACTGCATTTCTGCTGCATGGTTCCTTGGACTAAATCACCACCACCACCACCACTACTCCGTACTCACTATTGACCTACTGAGTACTACTAATCGCTGGGCGCTGCAGGCCGGATGCCCAGTAAGGGACGCGCAGTGGGATTTCTCTTCCGACCAGTTAGGCACCCCCGTTGAATAATTTACAACTAAACTCTTCTCAGTGGCCCCTTTCAAGCAACAGATTCATAAAGTCTGCCATTGCTGGGAGGTATACTGCCTAGTGTATGTATCTTTAGAATCTGTAGACTTAAGTACTGGACGGGCAGCCTGTAGTCTGTTCTTCTCTTCTTTCCCCCCCCTCCCCCTTTGTTTCAGAGGTTCACCCAACCGGACTTACAACCCTCGCAACTCGGACTGTCAAGCATAAAAATTTTCCTTATGGAGATCATGGTTCGCTGTACGGGATGAGTCAATAAAGCCTTTCCAAGTGGCTCCAAGGCGTCAAGATCTCATTGCCTGATTAATCTATCGATCCTGCAGTGTCTCCGGTCTAGATTGCTTTTTTCTGGTTTGGGGGGTCCGAAACCAGGCACAGTTGAACCGTGATTGGTTGTCCTTCGGCCGGAATTCGAGACGCCGGGGGAAAATCCATATTGAGGCAGCCCAGCATCCGCCAGTCACGGGTCCCATGAGTCCCGTCACACATGATGATGATGGGATGGGTGAGAGTTGGACTTTCACAGTGCTCACTATGATTTTGCTTCTCTTGTTGCCATCAAGACCAGCATCGATCGATTAACTTACCAGGTAGCTAATTTTTATGCACTGTGCACCATGCAACATGCACCAACAAAAGAATCCAACAGGGGAAATGAGGTAAGAGCTGCAGACATGAGACACAACAAGACCCCTCAAACCCCATTGTTCGTCTGTTCGTCTGAACGACAGCCGTTGGAATGCTGGAGGGCCGCCCGGAGGTACCACTAAGCAAAATTAATTGTCTGTCTCTGAGTCTCTGCCCTAAGCACCCACCATTGAAAGTCTGCGTTAGGGTACTACCTAGTACCTAAGTACCAGTTTGCACCCGGCCAGTCACCACCGGAGGATCGTGATGAGTCGGGGCGGAAAGAGAGAATATATGAAGAGAGAGTGAGGAAAAAAAAGAAAAAAAAAAAAAAAAGGAACGAAAAGGTAGCAGAGACCACGATAAATAATAAGGTATGTAACACCGATCAGCTGGGCTTAGTTTAGTGGGAGGAGCAAACGCGGTTCTTCATCTCCAGCGGAGACAAAGACTCCCTCTCCCGTCCAATCAGCACCGAACTCGGCCGTACTCCGCAGAAGCTTAGGCTTTAAGCAGCACGAGGTTAATAAAGACATTCGAACAACTAGACTAAGGAAAGGAAAGGACTCCGACTCTCCACGCAATGAGAGCTCCTAATAAAATCTCTGCTATTCGGACTATAGGCAGATAGTCAGTCGAGTCTTGCTGAAGTATCGTCCTTTTCCTGGCGCAAACACCTACCTACCTGCCCACCTACCTATACGTTTCTTTCTTCACGACGCACTGTGGGGGAGGAAGAGGATCTACCGATCAGCTTCAACAAAGCACTAATCACAACAGACAGGCCAGCTTTGCGCACGATCAGAGAGTCATCATCCATCATGAACCGCCTCCGGATCCGGTCGATCTACGACCTCCTGGGCGTCGACCCCGCGCTCGACCACAAGCACGTCTACGAGACATCGTGGCTGCTTCCCCCGCTGGCGCTGGCCTGCCTGCGCGGCCTGATCGCCCTCTACATCTTCACCACCATCTTCACCATCTGGGGCTGGTACGGCACGCACGGCGAGCGCTACGCGATCGGCGAGAGCTTCAGCTACTTCACCTGGCTGACCTACTGGGGCATCGGCTTCTACATGCTCACCGCCGCCATCCACACCACCTGCTACGCCTTGGCGGGTCGCTCGGTGCTCTTCGACCGCGGGCCGCGGGCCCTGCGCGCTCTCCACGGCCTCTTCTACACCACCGTCACCACCTATCCCTTCCTCGTCACCGTCGTCTTCTGGGGGATCCTCTACTCCCCGCCGTGGTATACCACCGTCGAGCCTGCTTGGCAGAACGTAAGTTGATCCCCCAACCTCCAGACCATATAACAGAGTTTCGTTCTTCTTTGGTCCCAACCTGAACCCAAGAAAACGAACACGAGTGCATTGTTCTCGCCAAAAGAAAAACAACTGACCCAATGATGTCGTAAAGATCTCCCAACACGGCCTCAACTCCCTCTATGCCCTGCTGGAGATCCTCCTCGCCACCACTAACCCCCACCCGTTCCTCAGCTTGGCCGTCCTCATCTTTATCCTCCTGCTCTACGTCTCGTTGGCCTATCTCACCTATCATACCGAGGGCTTCTACACCTACAGTTTCCTCGACCCCGGCGCCCATGGCCAGCACAGCGCCAAGGTCACCGGCTACTGCTTCGCCATCCTCGCAGCGATTCTAGTGTTCTTTTTCCTGTCGTGGGGCGCCATCTGGTTGCGGCGCCGGTTGACGCATGGGAAGGTGAAGCGGTCGGTGCGCGATTCGGGGAAGGTGGTGGTGGAGGATGAGCAGCCGGAGGTGGTCGAGGTTTCTATTTTGCAGGTTTGAAAACAGATCACAGCTGGGATGGGATAGCTATGGGAAGGGGGCAAATGTAGGGGGGGGGTCATATTGTAATGTTTAAAAGAAAGGGGAGCGATTGATTTTCTATGATCAGAGAATTATGGATTCTGTGGTTTCGGGTTATATTCATAGCTTCATTATAATGCATACTTGCGGGATATGATATGATGAAATGAGATGAGATGAGAATGGTATTAGATCCAAGAAAAAGCTCGCAGCGATAGCCGAGGTAAGGACGGGTGTTGGGGAAAAGGTATACTCCAATTTATAGATTTGGCGATATTCACGGGATGTCGGCAGCTTATCACAGCCGCTCCCAGCTGCTCGTCTCACTGCCACTCCCCGCGCTCGTCGAACTTTCCCGTGGCGACGATGAGGAAGTCGTCTGCTGCGGTTGAATGTGGTGATGGAGCTGCTGCTGTTGCTGCTGCTGCGACGACGACCGCAATCCTAACATCCAACCCACCAATCCTGCGGGTACCCATTCCCCGATTATGCTGTACGTCCTTGCGCCCCGTCCGACATACATAACGGCCTTCTTGCTGCTTCGCCGGCCGAACACATTCTTAGCCGGCGCCTCCAGCGCATCCTGCACGGCGTAATGCAGGGTGCGTGCAGAAGATCCTCGGATGAGGCTCGGGCCTGCCGACGCGGCGGGCCGCGCCTCGATGCTATTCAGGTACTGCGATGCATACAGCGAGCGCTGCTGGACGCTCCAGCCCAGCACCTCCGTACCGGCGATGTGGCCCTGCAGGGTCCGGTACGATGGTCCGAGGTCGATGTTGCCGAGCTTCAGTTCGACAACGTGGAGGTTCGAATTGGATGTCAACTCGCGGCGGAGAGAGGTGGCGAACCCGGACAGCGCGCGGGTAGTCGCGACTTCCGGCCCGCTGAAGGGCGCGGAGAGGGACGAGGAGATTGTGGGGTAGGCGACGATGATGGTGCTGTGATTGTTGCGGACATGGAGGAGGGGGAGGAATAGTTGTGTGGTGAGGATAGGGGAGAGAAGGCGCGTGTTAATTGTGTCGATCCAAGTTGACGGCGGGATTGTCGCGACGGGGCCGCTGGTATAGTTGGGCGAGGGGACTAGGATGAGCCCGCTCAGCTGGCAGGTGTGAGGCTGGAGGCCGGCGATAGGAGATTGTGGTTGGGTGATGAGAGTGTGGATTTCGCTGAGGGAGGGGTGGATTCCAGACGGATTGGGGGATGTCTGTGGCCGTGATGGTTGCGTTAGTCAAGGGTGTTTTGAGACGGAAGTGGAAGTAGTGTTTCGCTCTTACGGTGGAGAGGTCAAGCCAGAGGGACCGGATGTCTTCGCGACTTTCACTTCGGATAATCTGTTCTTCGTCGCTGGACGAGACTGTAACATAGACGATGTATCCCCGACGCTCAAGATCAGATGCGATCGCTCGAGTCATCGGTTCGTGCGCCGATCCCGCGATAACTATTGCGACAAATTAGATGTTTGCGCAGCTTGTCATTCAGGTTCTGGTCCCATGCATACCCACTATCTCCTTGCGGGCGCCATTCCCGGCCCTCCTTGCTCGCCGCCGTTTCCCATTGAGCTTTTTGTTACCATAATATAGGACGCAGGTGGTTCCAACGAAGGCAAGGATCGCCGCGCTCCATGCTCGGTTATGCAAAACCCAACCATGCACGCGATCAACCAAAGACTGTGATATGACCGGGTTTGGTCGGTACTTGGGTGAAGGGCGAACCGTAGGAGGCAGCCATGTCTGCTTGGAGAGGGTATCACGAATTGCGTTTGCGGCGTGGTCGACTTGACGATCGATAGAATCGGCGACCTGATGAGAATATCGCCTTACGTCATGCGGTATCGATGCCAGCTGCGACAAGCAAGAGAAAAATCGTGTCAGTGCGCGGTAAATGTGCAGGCTGGGAGAGTAGAGCTCACATAGTCGAAAAAGAACTGGTCGTCACTGGTCATGGTGATGATGGTTTGCTGCACTCAAACGGGGCAGCCGTTGGATGGAGATGGGGTGGGTGATGGATAAAAAGATCGAGGAATAAACTGGATCCTCGAACTTATCGGCGGGCCGGTCACATGAGCGTCTTCGCCCTATGGATGGACCATCCCCAATCAATCCTGAGTATGCACTCATCAATATTGGCGTGTTGATGTGTCACTACCTTCAATACTTTGAGTTCATATTGAACTAATCATTTTCGGTCTGCATGACACACTCATGCTACAAGTATAGCGTTATCGAAAGCTAGAAGGTATATGTATATATTTGGTACTATACTCTAACCACAAACATGACGATTGTGCACGCTACTTCAGACGGATCTATATCAACTGAAACTCATGCACTCTACGTACACAATTCTGCTGTATTTCCAATCGTCAAAAAGATACAAAATAGCCGTGGACCTATATAGTATAGCTACCCCAGCAAGCGCTTCGGCGCCTTCTCGAACAACCGAATGGTATCCTCCAGCCGCTTCTCATACTCCGCCATCTCCTGGCTGTCCTGATCGTCGCCCAAGTCATTCTCCTGCTCATCTTCATCATCTTCATCATCTTTTTCACCCAGGAGTTGCAATTCAACTCCATCTTTTCCTCCACCACGAACTGTGTTCACCGACATGATGTCTCGATATAGCCCCATCGACATTGGCAGCGTAATCCCGTCCACACCAATGCTACCCAATTTGATAAACTTGGCATCCAGCAACCGGAACTGAGCTGCCCAGACGTGCTCATCTTCAACCTCCATGGCAAGCTCCCAAGATGTACCCTGGCTCAGCTTCACCGAGCCGCCCACAGGCACACTCGACAGTGCCCCGATGACCGCAGATGAGATGCCTACCGAGACTTGATTTGATTGGCTCCGCGACACAATCGTGCGGGTACCTTCCAAGAGATATAGACCGGTAAGAAGCCAGATCTTCGGGCGGCGCGCGAATTTGAAGTTGAGAAGGTAGGAGCTGCGGGCTGCGGAGAGCCAAAGTTTGAGTTTCTGCTGTGCTTGTGGAGTATTGAGAACCGAAGTCATAAGGAAGGATTCCGGACTATGGCTCATATGTGAGTCTGAGCAATCCAGGAATCATCTGTATGGGCAGCAGATTGACATACTCTTTCAGGATAATCCGCCTCCCCTTCCTTGCGGTAACTATACGCTCGAGCTCCTTGTTATATGCTAGACGGAGATCAATTATATCGCCACCGCTGAGACCGAACCCAGGAGAAGTGCGAGAGGAACCACGAAAGACCACATTGGCGAAGTTACTTGCATAAGTATGTTCTTGCAAAGCCTCCTCACTGCGCAAATAGTTAGCTAACACTGTAAGGTGCTTAGGTTGACGTTGACTGCCTTACCTGAGCAGATCATGAGTATAGTGACGCGCTGCCAGTGGCTGCCAATACTTTTCCAGCACCAAGGAGCCAAGAGTCAAAGCCTCTGGTTTCTCGCCCACTCCATAGAGACAGAAGGAAGAGTCGTCACTCGCTGCCATGATTTGTAACCCGGTGTGCAATACGGAGTAGCCTAAGATTTTCACAATCAGAGTTAATTGACAATAGGGTGTTTTTTGGGTCCAGTGGATATCTTAACATGTTCCTGACATGTCTTGACATGTCTTGACATGGCGGCCCGCGCGGGGCTCGATCAGTGCGGCTGAAATCCATCCCCATTCCTGCCAGATCGAGTAATTCCTGGCGAAGGCAGCCTAAGCAAACAAGCGAGTTCATCATCATTTCCAGACTCCCCCATCCCAGAGAGTTTCTGACTTCTCTTCTTGACATGCTTGACTGCTGAAAGCCTGCACGAAAACCCCACTAGCAAACGCAACGGTCATGAACTTTGATCTCTTCCTCGACCTTTGCGGTCGATCACTTTTCGCCGAGGAATATCGCGGGGATTTGGATGCTGCTTGGGAGGCATTGCAGCAAGCCAAGCCAAGTGACCCCACTCCTGAGCCAGAGCCTTACGCAGAGTACCTGCGATGCTTGTCCATTTACTCCATTCTGACAGGCAGATTACGAGACGCCCAGGAAAGCTTGAACATTTTGTACAATCTTCTCGGCCAGCTACCTCCAGAATGGGGTCTGCGCTATACCAACTACACTCTACTATGCGATCACTATCGGCGCTATCCGCCTTCGCTTCGCTTCTTCCACGAGAGAGGAAGACCTATCAATCTCAACACCCTCAGCGACATTATTGGACCAAATGCTATGATGGCCAGATTTACAGGGAATTTCCAGCGACACTTCCCTTCGGGCAGTCCTCGTGATCAGTTTCTCTGTCAAATACTAGGCGCGGTGCAATGGTTGCCGATGCAAACAAGGAACTTGGTGTCTACATATCATCCATTCTTCCCAGGTCTGCCGTCGAAGCGCTCTGATACTATGAACTGGGAAACAGTCATTCCGGAGAGCGCCAAGTTTTTGATCAACTACCGGGGCCTGGCAGAATCAGGGGGTGCAACTACCATTGCAGATTATTTGTCGCGGGCAATAGTTGATTTACACATAGCCTGTCAACATCCAAACCAGGCAGATGCTTTGATGGACTTATATGGAGTGTACGAAGGCCGAGCAGACCAGGTGGGAATGGCCAACTGCAAGCTTATGGAAGGCGATGCTTTTTTGAGCCCTCCATTTGCAAGCCCAATCTCTCTCAATATGGTACTCGTAGAATCTTCATCAGCAGTCGGGGGGGATACCCTATGGGATCCCATTGATTTCGATCTCAAATTCGACTACACATCACAGGCGAGGGATTGTTACGCATCGGCACTGAGTCTCTTTCAGAAGGGGAAGTGCAAGAGAGGTCAGGCTGCAACATTGCTTCGACAGGCCTGCTGCTTACACAACAAACAACGTCATCTCCGCGGCGTGAACAAACAAAGCGTTGGCTTACTTGATGAGGCCGAGGAGAAGTTGCGCCAAGCGCATGCTCTCTTTGCCAGAGACGAGGCCAATGCTCGATTGGTTGATGCTCACCGAGTCCTTCTCAGTATAACGAGAGGAGAGATAAGCAAGACTAGAGCCATAGCGCAAGACATTGGGAAGTGGGGTGTCGAAGCCAGAAACGAACTGATGGCACATGGCCTCGGGCTTCTCATGATGCGCTTCGCTTACCATGAGTGGAATAGATTTGGCAGATTAGATACTGCTCTTTTCGCTTGGGAGTGTGCATATGAGGTGTTTGATGCTATCAACGATGTGATTCCAAAATTTCAGACTTTGATGTCTCGGGCAGCGGCGTATCACGACATGTTCAACGACACAGCAGTAAAGATAGTGGCATCCAAGGCGCTAGCTATGGTAGATTCTGTCAGTGACACATACGACAGAATCTTGAATGATGCACCCGATACGCTGTTGGGGATGGCTGACCGGAAGACCGTACTTGCGAGTAAGTTCAATACGCTTTGGACGTTTGAGACCAATATAAGCCAGATATTCCTTCGCCTAGAGGATTTCGAAGCCCTCGACAATTGGCAGAAGAAGCTTCTTGGTTTTGTTGAGCAGGATGAAAGCTTTCAGCACTTTATCGCAACTATCGAGCAGAAAAATGGCTCTGGCCTATCACTCCCCGAATTCGGATACTCTCAGACTAGGCTAAGAGGGTTGTGGAAGGAAACAATGGCCCATCATGCAATCAGACTAAGGTATGCTTCGGCTGACATCAAGAGTCGTGAAGACCTTATGGAAGGAAACATTGATAGAGCTAGAAAGACTCTTCGCCGCTTTGTGAGCGACGCTGAACAGATGGAGCTGGTTTACACGCGAGATCTGTACCGCATATTGGCTTGTGCTCACATCGGGGACCGAGCCAAAGCCCGGTCTATACTGGACGGCATCAGTGATAACATGCTCTTTGGAGGAAGCCTGGAAGAATATCTCCAGGGAAGGGCGCTTAAAACCACATTCCCCGCTATAGCTGAGAATGCTCTGATGTTCACAATCCATGGAAATGACTTAGACAGGGCATTCAGGGTAGTCAATCTGATCACAAAAATAGCTCCGGAGTTCTTCAACTGGACCTTCGAGAATCTCTACAATTACTCTTACCGACTCGGGAACTATGGCACAATTTTGCTCAATAATAATTGGCCCCAAAAAGCCTTTCATCAACTACTCGAGGCACGTCAGCTCATTGAGCTCCGCCGTACACATACTACTGATGTTGATGCCAGGATTGGAAACTCAATGTCTAGGTGGACTTACGAAGTATTTTTGGATCTAGCACGCGCCTGTCTTCGTTGCCAGGAGGCCGGTGTTCCGCTGGCCGTGTTGACTCAGTATAAGCATGGACATCCTGGGAGTGTCTCCTGGCTAGAACATGCATTGCTTTTTCTAGAAGAAAGCAGAGCTCGTGTTGTACTTGACTCATTACAGGTTGGATCGGGTGACGAAGGAGAGTCTGACAAAAGAATGGCTTTACTTTCGGAAGCCATATATAAGCAACGAGCCCTCAGAGTACTGCTCGCTCTAGACCACCCAAGCTCCGAGCAAGAGGAAGAACTTTCTCAGCTTCAGAAAGAGATTGGTGAATTGGAAGGCAGCGGGAGTTCTTCAGCTACTACTGGGTTTATAGCTGCAGCGAGCTCTACAGTTGAGCCCCAGTTACTTTATCAGATTATTGACGACGATGCAGTAGTGATAGAGGTCACCTTTGGGGTTCAAGGCTTTGTGGCATTTGCGATTACCAGGAACGGAATTCAGAAAGTTCACCACGGAGCTGCGCGCTCTGTTGACATGCAGATGCCTGCCATGCGGTTTATGCAGGTTCTCAAAGAAATGACCGGGTATCGAGGAGAGGAGGAAGACACCCGCAAGCGGGTTCTCAACGAGTTGTCCGCAGAGGTATCCTCAGTATTGTTGACGCCGTTTGCAGGCACGATCAGACTGAAGTCGCATGTCGTCTTTTCCGTGTCTGAGCCTTTCGCAGCATTTCCTTTCTCTGCCCTTCTCTTCGATGGCAAACCATTGATCGCACATGCATCGGTATCACAAATCCCCAGTCTGACAGTCTTGTACTATGTCTCCCAGCGGCAGTCGGCGTCGCGATTATCGGAACCAACAGTAACAGTGTTTGCGAAGTCGCCTGTCGAACCCTCGTCCGCAGAAACAAGAGCCGGAAATGAGGATGATCTGCACATGGCAGGTATCGAGGCAGTAAACATTGCCCGGATATTCTCCACCTGGCCAATCGAAGCGTCGCGTCTCTCACGAAAGAACTTTCGCGAATATATCAGGGGTATATCGTCCGTTCTACACATCGGAACTCACGGCAAGGTGGATTTCAAAAATCCTCTTATGTCGTCGATCTCGATTGGAGAGGACTTCCGGGTTCTGGATCTATCCGACATCCAAAGCAAGGCAGATCTCATAGTCTTTGCGGCATGTTTGAGTGGACTCGGAAAAGCAACCATTGGCAGTGAGGTTTTGGCCTTCTCTCACGTCGTGCTTGGCACCGGATGTCAAGCCTTCATGGGTACACTGTGGGAAGTCAGCGACTTTGCATCCATGCTGATGATGACAATCTTCTATCGGAACCTCAAAGAAAAGAAGCATTTTTCCCTGGCGGAGGCATTGAGGGATGCTCAGACTGAGCTTCTCCACTTTGACAGTTGGAAGGCGAGCCAATTTGTGGATAGTTTACTGGAATCATGGACCTCGGAAACGACTAACGAAGGGGGTCCTCGTCCTGATGAGTTCGTGCCGGATGCAGAGTGGCTGCTTCAGATGTCGAAGATAATATTGGATCAACTAGACTGGACGAGTCCGTTTTACTGGGCACCATTCATGCTGATGGGCAGTGGCGGACATCGCCTGTCCCATCTGGAGGTTTAGTGACAGCGTTGGTTCTACTGTTGACATCTATCGTATCTTTGCTGTAAGTGTGAGTGGGTAAAATTAATGATACCGATGATTTTGTAAGTTTAGTTTTCCACAGTATGGCATGTCAAAGAGTTATAAAGCAGTTCCTGGCTCGTGAGGAAAGATGAGAGTTGCCCCGGAGGACCGCTACGAGGCAGGGGCACATATTTTCTACCACAGAAAAAGAGACTATCGCAATGAAAATAATAATTACCAAGGCAGCCATAGCAAGAAAGGGTAAGATGGAGCTCATTCAACTTGCAAAGCATGCATTGTCTGACAATTCGGTGCATGTTTGTTCCAGACCGGTTCAGTGACTATGGTAATAAGTCAAAGTAGTCAACCAGATAACGCTTCGCTCTGAATATCTCAGAACCGCGCTGTCCAAACGCTGCCCAGATTATTCTCAATACTGAATCCCCTTCACCATTCTTCATAAGCTTCCCCAACCTTCCTGAAATGTCCTCCTATCTTGTTCATCACGGGTTTCACTCTTCATCGCCCGCAGCAGCACCAGCAGCACCAGCAGCAGGCGCCTTATCCTCCTCCTTGTCCTTGCCAGTCTTGGCGCTCTTAGCAGCCTTCTTGCGTTTCTTGTTAGGAGTCGCCGGTCCGGCTTCGGTGTCGGCTCGCTTCTGCTGGCCTTTCTGGAAGCTGACTCCACTTCCGCTCTTGCGGTATTTGTCCAAGTGTCTTTCGATCGCCTTGGGAGTGGGCTTGTCATCTCCGGCTGTGAATTTGGATTGATTAGCTTCTGAGATATCGGACGTTCATGTAAAAGGTCCGGAGGATTCAGTGGCGAGTTTGACTTACGCCATGCCTGAGCGACTTTGTCCAGGTCGAGGGTGATGGTTTGGGTTTCGAAGATAAGCTTCCAGAGCTGAGAAGCAGAAGGAGAGTCACCGTTAGTGGACACCAGAATTGGAAGGGAAAGAGCTATAGGGGAACTGTACAATCTGCTCGTTCTCGTCGGTCCAACGCATCTTGGCGGTTGGCTGAACTGGCGATTGTCTCGAGTGGAGATGCTGTGGAGTTGTGATCAGGTACGAATAGTGTGTTGGATGATATAGACCAGGTAAAGTGGGAGTTTGTAGCTTGTTGAAGGATGACTGGGAGGAGGACAGATTGGATCAGTGGGTGTCTCAAGGATAAGAGGAGAGAAATTAAGTAGACAAGAGTTAATGTGAATGTAGCTTACTAGTTCCACCATAGCAGTGCATTCACTAAGGGTCGGGAGATAAGGTACCGGGGGCGTAAGACGAGTAGAGAGGACTCCAGCCATTTGCGCTGGCCTTCACTCGCAGTACGTATCTCCTTGTGAAGCTGCAGAATTGTCTCTGACGAAGATTTGCTTTAGGGTTGCATATCAAGATCCTTCGTTGCATTAACGAGTATATTCGGGCACAAGCTTCATGATTACACATCCTTTCTTCTATGCTGTGCTCATCACGGTTCATTTTTTCCCTGACTAGTAGGAGAATATCATGAGATTGCCACAGATGAAGATGGTTGCAGATCTATACAGTGAATGCACGTGACATGATATGTGCGCCTGAGTGCCTGAGGTCGCCTGGCGATTAGCAATCCGGGCTGCCAGTCCCTTCCATCCATGCATTGTTGAAACATCTTTCTTTCTGCCTACTAACTTTAGTCCTCACCATCTTTCTTTAATGTGATCAATGGCCGGAGTATTTCACTCCTTCCCTTCATTTATCTCTTGGTGTCCTTGTGTCCCTAATTTCTGGCAGCCTTTGGGCCTCTCTTTTGGTGATCGGTTCTTAAATGTGAATCTCCTGGGTGGCGGAAGTAGTAGCTTGCACCTGCGATAGGTTTCTCGCACATAAATACTTAATACCGTCTTAATATTCTTATCACATCACTTTCACTCGATCACCTGCTTTCTTCGCAGAGTTATCTCGGCTTAGCACTACAGCGTGGATACATTTCAGCTACCTGACCGTCAAGCACATTTGCCACCATGCACGAACTAGATCCGCTCATCTCTGAATTCCGCCATGACAAGAGGCGTCCCCGGGCTGACGAAGCACTCCTCATGCTTCAGAAGGTAGCTTCCATAGTCAAGCCTATTATGCGCCGACGACAATGGAAGGTCGGGTTACTGACCGAGTTGAATCCGCAAGATCGACATCTCCTTGGTCTCAATTACAACCATGGCCAAAAGATCTGCTTACGACTTCGTCGTGCTGGGGATGACCGTCAGTTCCTACCCATGGATTCGATTGTAGATACTATGCTTCATGAGTAAGTGAGCCCCCTCCCCCATTGAATCTCCTAATGCAAAATCCGGTCGCTAACGTATATTGCAGACTCTGTCATATTGTGCATGGACCACATAATCAGAAATTCCATGCTCTATGGAATCAGCTCCGGGACGAACACTTGGAGCTCACTATGAAGGGCTATACAGGCGAAGGCTTCCTCTCCAAGGGTCATCGCTTAGGAGGTCGTTACATGCCCGTGGAAGAAGCTCGTCGATGGGCTCGAGCCGCCGCCGAACAAAGACGGTCTCTCTCCGCCGGGTCGGGACAGCGACTCGGCGGCGCATCCGTCGCACGTGGTACAGACATGCGCCAAGTCATCGCAGCTGCCGCACAGCGACGCAGCGAAGTGATGAAGGGCTGTGCCTCGGGCGCCGACAATAGCGCCGAGCTGGCAGAGGAGGCGTCCAGAAATGGCTTCCGAACCAAGGCAGAAGAGGACGATGCGAATGAGCGAGCGATCATGGAGGCGGTCATCGATCTCATTGAGCAGGAAGAGCGCGAGAAGTATGGACCTTCGTATATCCCTCCAAGTCAGGAAAATCCTGCCGGTCCTCGTTCTACACTATCCCCGCCTCCGACTGCAGATGGCAGCAGGCCGGGCGCATCGTCGCATCCGCAGAGCCCAGAGAATCTGATATCAGATGATGGGTCGTACAACCAGCCGTGGTCGTGTCCGACCTGCACGCTCGAGAATCCTGCTGAGTTTCTTTGCTGTGATGCCTGCGCCTCGGAGCGGCCGCGGCCTTCGACGAACCGATCCGTATCAGAACCTATCTTAACAAGTCCGGCCAATGCAACAGACATGAGCACGAGCAAGAGCAAGAGCAAGAGCAAGAAGCGGCCAATCGGCCAGTCCCCGTCGTCCCCTTCGCAAGGTACTTCCAAGAACAAGGGCCGTGTCAAAACACCCTCGTCCACGCAGCCAGAACAGGCGAATAAGCGGCGATTGGGGCGGACATGTCGGGCTTGCGGCTCATTCATGGAAATCGAATGGGCATTTTGCTCCAGCTGCGGAACAGCAAAGCAGGAGTCCTAATTTTGGCAATCCCTTCGGAGTTTCATCACTTAGCATAGGCGTTGGTGGCACAAATTTTGCTTCGAGAGAGATACCATGACTAGCAATTTTTTCCATCGAGTCTCAAGGAAAGATAATTTCAACCTTTATAAATTTCCTACGAATGTCGAAAGAAAAGATCCATCTCATGAGAAAATGTTGCTCGTAACTGATCACCTCTTGACTGAGTAGAGTTACTGTCCTCCAAAAGCATGCGTAGCTCTCAACCTAACAACAAGGACAACCACAACCCTATTTCCCAGCTCTCGCGGTAATTGACAAGTTCTGAGTTAGCACACAATAATATCTCCGTAAACCGAACCTTGAATTGAACACATGCAAGTTCATAAGTACTAAGCTATGTAGTCTGGTTGACTTGTTACCCAAATCCGTAACTATAGTTATCCACCATCCAGCTGACTAGCTACTGACTAAGCAAGCTTCCACCTCCCCACTCCCGGCCCAACCATTCCGCCGAGCAAACCCAGCGAATAATTTCTTCCTCCCGATAATTTTCCCATTTCCTTTCCTTTCCAGCTTCCCCCACGCAACCACAAAAGCTGCACTGCAGCTGCAGCTTCTGACTATTTATGCTTTGGTCACAGCAGCCCATTCTCCCACACACACCACCTTACACAAACTAATCCAACTAATCAGGTATGCCATCCACCCCTCTACTCCCCATCCCCTACATCTCTACGCACCCCAGAATCAAAACCTAGCCTATCTTCCCAAATCCCAAAACCCAAAACATCTCCGAGGATTGGAGGAAAGCTACAAAACAACCTATATGATGAGAGCTTTGCAATCAAGAACCGGTATATTAGGAAGAGCCGGAAGAGGTATGACAGGAAGCCAACGTTGTTTCTCTGTCGTCGATGCTTATAATGGTTCTGCTGACTGGTTGTTTTTGCGGCTTTGCTTCTTCTCCTCGGTAATTGTTTGATGGTTCGTGTGGGTGAGCCAGGTTTCGAGGGTTCTCTCGATTCTTGTTTTTTTGCTTCAGTTGGATTGTTGTACGCTTGATGCGTGCGTGATTGTTGTGTCTGTTACATCTGCTGACCGACTACTTAGAATAGGTTCTTTTATTGCTGAAAACTGCTGGGCTGTAGAGTGCTGGGCTATATCATGATTAGTTAGATACAGACGAGGAAATCAAGACAATATGTTCGCAATGCGTTTCTTTCCATGGATCTTGCTTGAATTGATCGTATCAAATTTACATGGAGTCTAAGTCGAACCTATCATAACCTTCCGGATATAGAACTTTTCATGCGTAACCAAAAAGAGAGGACCCATCAACAAGTCTGAAACGCCAAACACATGCACGTGTACAGATAGTAAAAACAAATCAACTTGAACAGAACGTGCTCAAGCAATGCTGATGAACTGCCGCTTCTTGCCCGTACCGGTCATGCCCTCCTGTTCCTCGTAGGCGGCCTCGTCAATGTAGTCCTTCGTGCTCGACTCTTGGATCTGTTGGCCAACGAACTGCAGCGCGGACATGTTGAAACCCATCTCGTCCTTCTGGCGGGCCAGCACCCGACGCAGACTGGCGCGAATGCCGTCAAGCATCGGCCGCATCATCTTGCTCGCGACAATCTGGCGATGGTGCGTCTTGAGAATGAAAAACAGGACACGGCAGGTGAGAGGAACATTCCATTCACGACCGGCCCAGATGTTCAGGAACGTGAACAAAGCCGGGATCTTCGAGAATGGCAGAACCAGCAGGGCATCCTGAAGAGCAGCAGCGGGGATCTTCTGGACAACGTTCAGCAGATGCCTTTCGGCAGAAACGTCTCCCAATGCCATGTACAAGGGATTGCGCTTCGGAGGAGCTGCGTTGGGCTGCTTCGCCTTGATAGCACGCCACTCGCGCACAACCTCCAGATCCTCCATTCCCAGATCCAGGGCTTCGATGATCTTCTCTCCGGCCATGAGCGTGGCAGACGTCTGCTTGCCAGCATCAACGGCTTCGGCCTTCTCTCCGTCTTCTCCGTCCTCCTGCTCGAGGGAGGCCGTGAGGGAGTTGTCGTACATCTCTTCGAGCTCTTTCTCCCGCTCTTCTTCCAAGAAAAGTTGCTCGTCGGTCTGCTCCCAGGTGCGGATGCTCTTGTCATGACTGGCAGTGACAATGAATTCTCCGGAGTGACTGATAGCTAGCGCCCAGATCTCGCCGTGGTGCCCAGCCAGCTTTTGAATATGTTCAAATTTGTCACCATCCCAGTACTTAATCAAACGATCCTTGCTAGCACTGAAGAAGTTGTGGCCATTCCCTTCTTTGTTGTTCGGGACGAAAGCAACGGCCATAACACTGTCTTCGTGTGCCAAGAATGACTTGTGACAATCACCGAAATCGAGACCCCAGACACGTGCCGTCTTATCAGCTGAGCATGTAACAATCAACTTGCTGTCCCAAGAGATGTCCATGCTAAGGACCGGGAGTTTATGGCCGTAGAGGTTGAGGAACAATTTAAGCGAATCGACGAAGAACACCTTGACGGTATTGTCCAAGAGGGCCACAGCAAGCAGCCGGGCATCAGGGGAAAAGCGGACGTTAAGAATGTCATCCGAGACCTTCAGAGTCCTTGTGTGCACCAGCTTGAGTCGTGGCGTAGTTCTCTTTGTTCCAGGAATATCTTCCTGAACAACCTGGAAGCTCCAGAATTTGGCAGACTTGTCGGCACTGCCACTGACTAGGGACTTGCCATCCGGGTGAACCTGCAGCGACCATACCGGTCCGTCGTGGGCCTTTATCGTATCGAGAAGAGTCGAGGAAGCGATATCGAAGACCTCGAGCTGACCGTCTTTATTTCCGACAACAACAATCTTATCTCCGGGGAGGAAGGCCGAGCAGAGAGCATATCCACATTCAAGAGTACGCAAACAGCTTTGTGTGCGGACGTTCCAGATCTTAAGGCTGCCGTTGGACGCAGACGCTAGCATTCGATCATCAGAGCTCAATGCCACGGATCTGATATCGGTGCGGTGACCGGGAATATCGACTGCCAAGTTCCGGGTGTACTCCGACTCGTCCTCGTCTTTGTTCTTCTTGTTGGCGGTCACGACGCTGTAGGCCTCAATCTGATTGTTCGTGGTAGCGGCCAACAGGTGTAGATTGCCGCTAGATTTAGTCCTGATCCAGTCGAAGGACCGAACCTTGCCCCCGGTTCGAACAATAGTATGGGGTACGAAGACTTCAGAAACCGGTGCAGACGCGGCGTCGTCGTCCGGCGTTTTACTGTCAGTCTCGGGGACGGCTCCTTCCTTGTCTGCAGCACGTTGCGCATCCTTCTCCTTTCTTCTCTTGCGCTTCCTTGCCAAGCTCTTCTGCACTTCGACCTGCGAGCGAATCCGCCAAATCTCGACTGCCTTCTCCGAACCGTGAATGCCGATGTAGTCCGACCGGGGGTGGAAGCTGATTCCGATCGTGCGATCTTTGCCGGTGCGGTAGAGTGTTCCTCTGTCCGTCAGAATCTTCTGGCCTTCAGATCCGACTTTCTCCTTGGAGATTTCGATCATAGCACTCTCATCGATAGACCAAACCTTGAGTTCTCCGTCATTACCAGCGGTGATGCAACCACTCTCGTCAGGGGAAAGCCCCAAACTCCAGCATTCACCATTCGATTGAGCCACATGGGTCTCAATACAGTGCTGCGAAGCCAAATCCCAGACTTTGATGAGCGCATCCTTTCCCGTCGACAGCAAAAATCCCGCATGATCGCTGAGGCCTGCAGCATTGAGCAATTCGGTGGATGGTGTAAGGAAATTCAAGGAGGTGACTTGGTCGGTATGCCCACGCATCTTGAAAAGTCCGACTTCTGCAATCAAGTCCCACAGGATGATGTCCGTGTCTTTCGAACCACTCGCCAGACGAACTCCGGCGTTATCGAAGGCGAGTTGGGTAATGGCGGACTTGTGGCCATTGAAAGAAATGATGACGGATTCGGTTCGCGAATCCCAGAGGCGGATGCTTCCATCTTCATAACTGCGACGTACGAAGTAAGTACAGGTATTAAAATAGGGTCATCGACCATCCAAGAATCATGATGGAGACTTACCCCACCGCAAAAATATCCTCGTCCGTCTTGCTATGCGTGATCACTGTAACCTGTGCTTTACAGGCCGAGTCTCGCCATCTACCTAGCAGTTCACCCTTCTTGACATCCCAGCAAAGGACTTCTTCACTTGCGCCCACGATGGCTCTCCCGGAGCCAGTCCGACGCGCAGTACCCAGGCTATCCTCATCGCGGGCCCAGATCGCATTGGACGAGCCGGATGCGATGAGCCCGAAAGTCTTCGAATGTTCGAACTTTCTGTCCAGGTCAGCAGTCAGATGATGCTTTATGAATATGGCATAGTCGGAGAGCGTGAGACTCACAAATATGACTTCACCATCGTTGGGTGCGTGCCTCTGGAAAAATTTTGGAGCTCGGAGAATGAATGCTATCGATAGGCGCAAATGGCGGCCGCAACTACGGAGAGCGACAGCGACCACTCGGGGCCTCCCCACCGCCTGCCGTTCCCCGAGCATCATCAACGTAACTACCCCCTCGTGGCAGTGAATCATTGTTGATAAGTCCAGATCACCAAGGCATTCCAGGGAGAACATCGGGCGCTTTTCGATCAATATCAGCTTCTTTCGAGTGTGCTTGTCACCATGCTTTTGCTAGACTATCACAACGTGCTTATCCACTCCCTCTTGACGGAGCGGTTCTCTGGGTACACCCCCCCCATTTCCCCCGCCCCCTCCGACATACACCAGGCTCCCAGCTAACAGGTCGCCTGATGCTCGCTACAGATCCACCCCAGTTTCAATTGACCAGATCGTCTCCGACTTCGATGGCGTCACCTTCCATCTGTCTACTCCTGAATCAAAGACCAAAATACTCATCTCCATCCAAGTCAAGTGCTTCCGAGAGCTCGTTCAATATGGTGCCCAACAAGTGCTGGAAAGGGAGTATGGCCCCTATATCGTCGACCCGGAGCCTGGCTACGACTTCTCCGTCTTGATCGACTTGGAGAACCTCCCCGCTGAACAGGAAGCAAAGAATGACCTTATCATGCGATTGGCGTTGATGAAGCGGAACGCGATGGCCGCCCCTTTCGAAAGAGCATTCGACGAATTCGCAAAGCTGTCGGAGGAAGCTTCAAGGTACACCACAGAATCGGCTCCTCAGGGAGTCAAGGAAGGGGGAGAAGTAATGGCTATCCATTACCGTGAAGAGGAGGCGATTTACATCAAGGCCAGCCATGATCGAGTCACAGTCATCTTCAGCACCGTCTTCCGGGAGGAAACGGATCGCATTTTCGGCAAAGTCTTTTTGCAGGAGTTCGTTGATGCCAGACGTCGTGTGTTGACGCTGCAGAACGCTCCTCAAGTGCTTTTCCGCAACGATGCACCTCTCGAGTTGGCTGGGGTGCCCGGTCTGCAGAACGTCAACGACGGCACACTGAGCTACGTCACATTTGGTAAGTTGCGCACCCAGCATTCCTTTCTCTTTGTCTTGCAACATCCACTGATCGAGAATAGTTCTTTTCCCTCGTCATTTGACACCTCAAAGACGCTATGAAAACATTTCCCACATCCAGATCTTCCGTGACTACTTTCACTACCACATCAAAGCCTCCAAGGTAGTTCTTGCTCTTGCTTCCGGTCCAATAAATCAGGCGCTAACACATCAGAAAGGCATACATCCACACTCGGATGCGCAAGAGGACTGCAGACTTCCTCCAAGGTAAGCCTCGATGTCGGTCGGGTCTCGACTGGGTTCATGTGACTAATTCCTGGCAGTACTCAACCGGGCAAGACCCGAGAACGAAGAGCGGGAGAGGAAGACAGCCAGTGGCCGTACTTTCCGGGTCCAGGGGTAGGATAGCGGGCTTCTTGTTCTCTCTGTATAGAATATTGCAATTCGGCGGAGGGGTAGTGCTGGAGACAATGCACACATGCTAGGCCGAAGTTGTTTGCTTCTCAATTGTATAGCTTTACTCGTATCACATGCTCATTTTCTTTCTCTTCCTTGCCTTTATTTGTCTTTGCTTGAGCTCTACTGTTGACAGGTGCATGGGCCTAGAAGTAGTCTCATTGGGAATCGATCAGCAACTGTGCAGAGTACCCTTGCTTCCGAGCGTGCGTAAGATGAACCGTGACAAGCAAAGGGGTGGGTGGGGAAGTGCTGATAGGAATACAGTAATGCCAGAATGATCCAATAACTACCTGTCACCTGCAGTGCTAAGGAACATGTCCCCTCACTGGGCTCAACTAATGTTGAGTCTAGGGCGAATTCTACCGTTTTTGCCTCATTTGGCCATTCTTACCTATCTCTGCCATATTTTCCATTCAGCCAAGTACTCCATGCCCTTAATTTCTCCTCTTGTAGGCTGGTCAGGAGCATCTGATTCTGCGATGAAAACATGTAGTTTGAAAAAATGTGACCAGCAACTAATAAATCGGCCGAACCGACCCGGGTATAGGGCGGGAAGCAATATTGTAACCTCGACCTTCCAACCGCTTCCCGCCACAAGCAGCCCGAATTTACCGGCACGAGCCTAAAAAGAGCACAACTGCGCTATCGCTGCGGCGTTGCATGGTTTAAACCACTACCGATGGACTTACTAGACTAGTCCCTCCATTCACAAGGCGTTACGGTTAACGGCCAATCGCTCGAGGCTCAGAATTGGGTCACCTGCTGCCTGTCACATCAAGTTCCAGTATTTCCGGGAATGTCTCCTTTATTGTCCTCGCGGACATCCATCCGTTTTATGAGCTCGCTACATAACGCTCAAACGGGATCACAGGACAAGCTACTACTAGGAGGTACTCATTGAATCAGCTACCAACCTTTCACCACACCCTGCTATTGGAGGATCTCGATCTCGGTCATATGTGGAAATCAATGGAACCAACTCAGTGCTTCCCAGCCGAGGAGGGGCCCGCAACTGCTCGCGGCAGATCTACAAGTAAGTAACCACAGTACAGTACGTACTGTACGTGCGATGATGCTCTGTAGGGATTTTGGGGCAGTTTGAGTCGCTAGCTCAGCCCACTGCGTCTGGCGCTGCTTCCCTACAGCATCACCGCAATAGTACTACGCTCTTAGTATAATCATCCCGACCTTCGGCGTACCGGCTGCATTGGCGTTCTTTGGTGTACACTGTGCACCTAAACCTAGGAAAATAGGGTTAGTGCTGATAGTGATTCATGCAGGTCGTGAGGCTCAGGTGTCACACTCAGATTGCCCACAATGAGCGCGCCCATGCTCAGCATGCAGCTGTGCTACTCGATCGCATCGTCCATTTGAATGGATTCCCGTACTTCGCGGCTTTGTCTAGCCAGCGAATCACCCAGCAGCCGGTCTGCAAGGATTAAAAAATGGAATAGAGAAAAGGAACAAAAGAGTACAACGGGAAATTCGAGATTGGTCCCGTTAGAATGACCTTGTTTCGCTACTTGAGAAGGCAACCTATTTTAGGCTTGACTGCAGTTAGCCTTGACCTTTTAGTGTCAATGGCGACTGACTCGCCGTTGTTGTTGGTTTTCTCCGGGTTACCCACCGCGACTAAAGAAGTCGTCCTTTAGACTAGCCTCCACAAAGGGCCTCCATCGCTTCAATTGTTCCGGACCGGTTCATGCCAAGGGCTGAGCCTTTCCATAAGCTCAATATGCATTGTCCCAATGAGGATGCAATGAGGCCATTGGATCTAGATGGTGCAGCCAGAGAAAGTCCCCACCTGCATGGAATGATTTCCCTGTGATTTACGGGACATCCTCACTCCTCGTGGGTGTCTCATCCTTGCGTTCTCTCTCGTCCCCCTTTTCTTTTCTTGCGTTCTTCTTTCTCTCACACCATGCACATAGTGATATAATAGCTCCGATCATTCTTCATATTGAAGAGACGCCCCTCCACAATCCTTGTTCTTTCGAACCGGAGCTGATGCGGGATATACAAACTTGCGACACTGATAACTCGGCTACGATTCGATAGGTAGAGCCGCGCCATTCTCGGCTCCGGCGAGCGACTCAGCTGATCTTAGCTGTCTTAAACACATAAGGTCCCAGTCATGCTGGATGGCGAATGTTAGTGTGCAAACAAGGCGTGTCGGGGCCATCGCTTATAAACTAATTGACAGACTCCCTTGCGATTTTGAAACCGTTTCCACGGCAGGCTGAGACATCCGGCATAACCCCATGATGTCTGATAAAATAAGCTCTTTACCGTTAGAAATCATCCTTCACATTCTCTCTTACCTGCCTCTTGAATCATTGCTAGCCTTTGGAGAGACATGCCGCAGCAACTTTGAGTCGCATAATCTGTGCCTCAGTAACCTACGGTTAGGTGTCTTTGAGAAGCGCTCTCATTCGGCTATCTCCCTACTACGAGCTGGATGGTTGACACCAGAACAGATGCTGGAGGGCTCAGCTGATAATGTCCGGGGCGACAGCTATAGAATATCAATCATTCAGTCAGCAGCAAACCACGAGGCCTCGCCGTTGACCTACAAGCCCGCAGTGAAAGTCAAGGACCTCAAAAGACGAATACATCTGACGCAAGAGACATCCCGGACCCATGAGCATCCAGTTCCTGAACAAAATAGAATCTTGGCGCAGGTGGTCAATCGTTACGGGCGAGGGCTCCGAAAACTCGAGTTCATGGCATATAATCTCGACGTCACGGGCGCGACGGCTCTGGCTGTTAATAGCCGACATGTTCTCAACCACCTTGCGCTGCGGTTTGAACATCCACACATTCGCGATGGCTCCATGCGACCAAGTGCTTGGCTGAGTCCCGCACCGGGGAGTACTGCGTGGAACTCTCTGATCGGGATCGGACAGCCCACGCATTATGGGCCCCGCGGATTGCAGAGTCTAGTCATGGAGCGAGCTGGTATCACTCCCTGGCAGCTAATGATGTTGGTCAAAAGAAACCCGAATCTGAGGTTACTCAAGTTGAGGACGTGTCGTGGAGTTCAGCCTGAATTCCTGGATTGGCTGGGTGGCATCGAGGGAGAACTCGACGACTCGAACATGGACGATGACAGTCCAGCCCCTGGAGCAAAGTTGGAAGTACTCTGGCTGGAAAATTGCCATGATATACTCCTCTATCATGTTGAAAACTATCCTTGCCTACCTGACGAGGCTTGTGACCTGGGGCTTGAGTGGGTGAGAGGTTTGAACAGCTTAAAGGTAAGCATACATATTTGATTGGGTCAATCGACCTTAGGTTCCCTGGGTGGTCTTCCATGAGATGCAGGCTAATTACTTTTCTCCTCCATATGAAGTCTCTCTCGTTTAGCGAAAGCGGGAATCTGCCGCCCGACTTCATTAGGCGAGCAAATGAAACTTTGTGGAGAATCCCAGAAGTTATTCTACCATACACGTCGAATGGGGACAAGGCCCTCATCGAAGTTGATCCACTGCCTTCATAGCTTGATATCGTTATTTGTCTTTGTCAAAATGTACTGGCGCAGCGCATGGGTGGCGAAATGTCCTTGTATCTCTTGCTGATTGTAGGCATAGGAGGCTAGCAAGTTTATGTTCTGTATCAAAATCCTCTCACTAATGTTAGAGCTTCTCTCACCTTGCATCTCCAATTAGAGCAAATAAGCTGTAAGCACTTGAGCGCTAGATTACTGGCACTTGTGCATATAGATCGATGGTGGTCCAAGTGCGATGAAGTAGCAAGCACACCTGAGCTATCCGCCTGTACCTTCTCTGTTCCATCGCTCACACTCGATGTCAACACAACGTCTGGTACTTAGCTAGCTGCTACTACTTTCATCCCCTTATGCTCACTTTCACTTCGCCTTACCTCATCCCTGTACTGTGACAGCGGGTTCGGGTCTCTTTCACCTGGCTATCGCTTTCTGTTCTCATCACTCGCACTGTTTCTCAGCCAACCATCACGCGCTATCGCGTCCATCTATCGTTTCATTTCCCTTTCACATCAATCACTCAAGTGACTCTTGAACCAAAAATCAAGTGAACATCAAGTCACATTGGTCTCCTATCTCTTCAAATGAAGGGCGCCCACAGAGCCGCTTCGCAACTATGGGCATCGACCAGGCGCAAACTATTCCCGCGTGGTGATGATGACGAATCTCACTTTCTGAAACTCGATCCTCACTGTCATACCTATCAGGAATCCGTTGTATCGACCCTGTTCGGCGACCAGCAGGATGGCTTCTACAAGTACTCTCAGGATTTGCTACAGACAAGCGGGGAGGAAAACTACAGAAGATTGGCGGAAGAGATGGGGTTGCGCTCGTCGGGCAGTACTGCGGTTTCCTACGCATCAGCTGTAAGTTATATCGAGATGATTGCGCGTCCTCGTTCTCTAGAATTATCTCCTGCTTTGAGGCTGTGGGTTGACTGAGACTCGCAGCAAATGGTTCCGATCGAACGTCCTGCGCTTCCCTACGCAATTGGCTCTCCTGACTGGAGTCTGGTCAATGGCTTGGTCAGATACATGGATCCATCTGGTAATGAGGATCTTACAGACTGGATCGAAAGTGTGATGAAGGTCTACAAGAAGGTCTACGCCATTGCCAAATTTGTCGTCGTAGTGTTCTACTTCTACAACGTTGACGTGCGTGAAGGACACTCTGACGTCTCAATTCCTTTGGGGGTGAACATGGCTAACACGTGCAGTTTCGGTGGCAGTTGGACGATAATGAAGGCCTGTGGGCACATATCCGGAAGGCAGAGGAGCTCGCGACGTCCAACAGTATCAAAGATCTGGTCAGAGCTGTGGAGACTCTGTACTACTCCTTGTACGCCAAGCTGATCATGGAAATCGCGAACGCCGAGCTATGCTCGTACTTTCACCTTGGGATCCCCCGCGTCACGACCAAGGATGATTTTATGCTTCCCGAGCAGCATAGCACAATGAAGATGTTGCTGGTCTGTAAAGAATCCCTAGACAGTCCGTCCGTGTGCCTGGTTTTCAACAAGGACATCTTGCGCCAGCACCAAGCTGGGCTTGTCCGCCGAGCGGTGAATACGCTGAGGGCGACCGGGTTCTCGCTTGATGACCTCGTCGGATACCGTCGGTTCACCCTGGCCTTGCTGGCAAATCCAGAATCGGAGTTCCGCCAGAAATGGGACGGCCCGGGCCTCACATATCAGATGCCCCCTAGGGAAGTTCTCATTGCTGGGTCAGAGAAGTATCTGTCATTCGCCCCTAGGGACGCAATTCGCACCAAGGTCCCGCAACTACGCCTGCGTTTCGTGGAAGAAAATTCGGTAGACCCAGCGGCGTGGGAACGTGAGACTATCCTCGGGCACCGTCAGGCAGTACTGGCCATACTGGAAAGCAGAGTTATCGGTGAAATTCGACGTACGGATGAGCGACGTGGTCTGATCGATTATGCTCGTGAGAGAAGATGTACCTGTAGATCACCCTGCAGCTGTGCGATGGCCTGTACCATGAACCCCGAGCGTGTTTGTCCTTGTGCCGGATGGAACTTGACCGTCATGACATTAGAAAATCGCCGGAACTTTCCACACTTGAAGCTCGGTTCTCGGTGTAACATCCTCGCCAGGAGCATCTTCGAGGCAGTATCGACCATCCGGGAGGATGAAGACCTCTGTTATCTCGCAGTTGAGATGAAAGGTGCGCTGACCACCATCGCAAACGAGATCGACAAGCTGCGGGCGGCCAATGGCTGCTAAAGGACCTCACCTGAGCAAGCACTCGGTCCTGAGAATCTGTTTCTTCCCTCCTTTGTTTTTGTTTTATGCGTTCTGCACGGTCACGATTGATGATTAATGACATGATGATTTAAATGAGTGAAGGAGCAGCCCATGTGCACGATAGGAAAAATGCAAAGCAGACATGGGGAAATACTGTTATGCAGAAAACTCAGTATCATCAATCGGAAGCGTCTGTACGTATGTGGTCGGTTCAGATACATATTCAGACTACTAGGTAGTGGTGATATTGGATGATCCCCAGATTATTGATGTTGATCGTCACTTTATTTACTTGGGATTTTCCATTTTCGACCAAGTAAATCAATAATGCCTGAGGCTTCAGGCAGTAAGTAGTCAGGTGGTGGTGGGGCGGCTGAGTCAAGCGGAATGACTGGTGAATTATTGACTGACTATGACTCTGATCAAGGGTGAGTAAGTCAAGTCAAGTGGGAAATTCGGAAATTCTGGAACCGCCCCGACCCTGCCCTGCGGTGTCTCCTTTCAGACAGACTGTCCGAGAGAAAACTGGAAAGAAGAAACAAAAATAAAAAATTTCCCTCTGTCGGTCTTCTCTAGTTGTTGTAGAGAGACGACGACAGTAATTCCAATCAAAGACTCCCTCTAATAATTAGCGGGCATGGTGCCCAAGTCGCTTGCTAGCTCGATTGTGTGCTTCTCATCCTCCTCCTCTTCCTCCTCCTCCTCCATCATCATCCCCTCATCTCCCTCGTCAGCCTTTAGACGCAGCCCACTGTGGAGCGCGCACTCCAGGGTCTCCCCAACATCCGCAGTGCCGGTGCGGCAATATCGAGCCGTTTGGCCATCCTACGGCATCACCACGCCGGTTCCAGATCTTAACCCACATTTCCCCATCTCGCAATCTCCGTATTGCTTCCAGACGGGCTATGCCCTTTGCGCCAAACGCGCACCGCGGCCGTTCCCCCACCGTTCCTCTCTCCCCCATCATCTTCCTTTTCCGACCCCCTGACCACCCACTACCTCAGTCAGGATAAGAGATTATCCGTTCGGGGTGATCTAGTCCGGGGCTTGAACAATGGGGACGATGCCGTTCTAGTCGCCGACAATTATCTGGCTGTCAATGATGGGGTAGGAGCGTGGGCAACCAAGCCCCAGGGCCATGCAGCGTAGGTTTTTTTCTTTTTCTCTTTTGGTTATCTCCGAACCTTGTTCCCCAAATTGTCAATCCCACCCCCATTTCCCCTTGGACCCTGTAGACTACCTACATTAGGGTTTAGAGTAGAAGCTTGTTGTCTTCTTGTTCCATCCAAGCTCATTGCTGACCATGTTCTCTTTTGCTTGATCGCCTCTATACAGCCTCTGGGCCAGACTACTCCTTCACTTCTGGGCGCTGGAGGTTGAGCGCGTTTCCAACACGAGTACGCAACTCGACCCCATCGGCTACCTGCAACGGGCCTACGAGGAAACCATCCAAGCGACCAGCTCCCCGGGCCAATGGCTGGGCACGACCACTTCAGTCACCGCCCTATTACATTGCACGCGCGATCATGCAGGGAACACGAACCCGCTGCTGTATGTGACCTGTCTCGGCGATTGCAAGATCTATGTCATCCGGCCCCGCGAGAAAACGATCCTCTTCCGCACCCAGGAGCAATGGCACTGGTTTGACTGTCCGATGCAGCTGGGCACGAACAGCGTCGACACGCCGAAGAAGGACGCGGTGCTCAGCAAGATCGACGTGCAGGAGGGCGACATCGTGCTCGCGGTCTCGGATGGCGTCGTGGACAATCTCTGGGAGCATGAGATCCTGACGGTCGTTCTTGAGAGCCTTGACAAGTGGCACCAAGGGCGCTATGACAACAAGGAAATCGAGTGGGCGCCGCCGGAGGTGCTGGCCCACGAGCAGATGGTCTTTGTCGCTAGGGAACTGCTCCGGGCTACGTTGGAGATTGCGCAGGATCCCTTCGCGGAGAGTCCATATATGGAGAAGGCAATTGACGAGGGTCTGGCCATTCAAGGTGGTAAGTGTGCTTAGCTTTTTCCGGTTTCGCTGTCTTGGTGCAGAAAGAGATGCTGACCCGCGGTGCAGGGAAAATGGACGATATCAGCGTCGTGGTTGGTGCGTGCAGGAGAAGAGAGCATTGAGTCTGATTTCAAGCATTGATATAACTTGCATACAAGGATCCACCTAAATGTTGACTACGGCATGCGTGGCTAATATGGGGTCTCATACTGTGTTGTCGTGCGTGACTACGCCGCCTGGGCAGAACGGCGCTCAGTTGCGTCACGGCAGCCCTTGGCGTTCAGTGGGTCTGTGTAGAAGGTCGAATGGCGAAGGTATGGTGTATATATTGCATGGCGATGGGCATTGATACCACTTGTTTTTTACTTTGAAGGGGATGTGGAGTAGTTGTCGCTGTCTGCCAACTTCGGCATTTCGCTTACAGATTTGATTGATAGACTATACAACTTCTAATCTATGCTTTTTCCTCGTACTTTGGCCGGCAAGATTGTAGATGCAAGAACAACCTTTAGTCTGCGGAAACGACTTCAAACAAAACCATGGCTCTTACCTAGGATATGCCACCTTCACACTGAAGGAAGGAAAACAAATGTAGTGGAAGTGCAGATTTCAGAAACTGAACCTTTATGTTGATATACTCAGTCTCTATCTAAACGAGTACCTGACTGCGGCTAGTAAGCGAAGCACAGACCGCAACCCCCTAGCACTCTCCGCCCGGCAGAATCACCGGCAGAAAAAAAGTTTCAGACATCATCGAAGCAAGCCGAAACATCGTCGTCTTTTGAACTGAATCGATCCCACCTTATCCGGCCAATTCACCACCGTCACGATGAGGGCCAAACGCTCCAAGAAGTACCGGAAGCTGATGCACCAGTATGAGCTCACATTCGGATTCCGTGAGCCGTACCAAGTTCTGGGTAAGTTGCAACATTCACCCAGAGGGACGCTGATAAGATCTGCTCCGCCCATCCAAGAATCCGACATCTAACAAATTGTCTTTGACTCAGTGGATTCGAATCTCCTGCGCGCAGTGCACAGTTTCAAGATGGAGTTGATACCGGCGCTGGAGCGCACCGTGCAAGGGAAGGTGAAGCCGCGTAAGTTCTTAGCCTGAAGCCCCCTCCGAATGAAACCAAATACACATGATGTATGTGGTTGCATGATTGATGCTGTTACTGATTTACCGCCCCTCATCACCAAAGTCCTCACGAAATGCTCCCTCGCTGCTATCATGGCCAACCAACCCCTCCACCCCCGCACCAACAACCCGATGCGTCCCCATTTCCTGCCCCCGCCGACGGAAGTGCCCCTCCGGCACTGCTCGCACAACGAGGACTCGACCCCGATCGACGAGGTCGAGTGTCTCCTGTCGCTGCTGTCGCCGACCACGGAGGTGAAGAAGAACAAGGAGCACTACATCCTCGCTACGGCGGACGCGCCGGCCGCGGCGGAGAAGGAGAAGGAGCGGGCGGCGATCGCGGCGGGCAAGAAGCGCAAGCGCGGCACGGACCGCGAGGCGGAGACCGCGATCCAGAAGTCCCGGGAGCTGCGCCAGGGCGCGCGCGCCATCCCCGGTGTGCCGATCGTGTATGTCAAGCGGTCAGTCATGGTGCTGGAGCCCATGAGCGGCCCCTCGGAGGATATCCGCGACGGCGTCGAGCAAGGGAAGTTTCGGGCGGGATTGAGTGAGGAGGCGCGGAAGAAGGCCGAGGCTAAGGCGGCGGCGGCGGCCTCGGGAGATACCAAGAACAGCAGCAGCAGCAGCAAGAAGCCGGGGATGAAGAAAGCCAAGGGGCCGAATCCTTTGAGTATGAAGAAGCCGAAGAAACGGACTGCCGAGGGTGGTGCGACGGCGGCGGCGGCGGCGCCTCGGCCCAAGCGGAAGGACGCTGATGCTGATGGGACCCAGGGGGGGGTTGCAGCGGAGGAGGGAGTTGATGGTGATGCTGCTGCGCCCAAGGCGAAGCGCAGACGTCGTCATCACAACAAGGGTGCTAAGCAGGAGGATGACAATGAAGCTGGCGAGTCCGTTGCTGCGGCTCCGGCTGCGGGCGATGCCATGGAGGAATAATCTGCTTTTTTTTTACCCGGGTTGCGCTTTTCTTCTTGGTTCTTCTGTTGCTATTTCTAAGTATGGCGTTTGGCTGGGATGGAAGAGAAAAAATGTGTCCATATGTGTATGAGCAGTGAGTTGTATATCCAATCTTTCATATCTTCATATTGGAAGATAAAGATACCTTTCGAGATATCTTCCCAACCCGGAATCGAGAGACGTTAGCTCTCAGTAAACACGAAACAAACTTATCATGAGAAAAAAAAAGTAGAACAAAAATGGTACTCCTCCTTCCCCAACGCCAATCCCAGATGCAATGTGTGTGAGAGTGTGTGTGAGTGAGTAGAATACAGTACATATTCTTACACGCCAACCATTAAAAATCGCCAGCCAGCACAATACAAAACAAGAATCGTGCCATACTTTTCAATATCATAACTCCGAGGGCTTTTATTTCCCCTCAGCAGCAGCAGCAGCAGCAGGAACCCCCTCAAACACCTTCTCGTCCGCCCAGATCTTCTCAATCCGTCGACGGTTCTCGCGCGCCTGGTCGCGGTTCTGCTTTGCGCGCGCATAGCGTTGCTCCGAGAGGCACTTGTTGACCTCGCGCTTGATGTCGTTGCAGTTGCCCAGCGCCTTGTGCAGGAACCCTTGGGCGTGGCATTCGTCCAATGCGGTCATGATCTCCTCGCAGTCTGTTTGTGTTCACGTACGTTAGGGCTTAAGGGCTTGAGAATTGGGGGAGGGGGAGTGTTTGCGGCGGGGACGCCGGGGGGAGGCCATACTGATGTTGTAGGGGGTGTGAAGGTGGGAATGCATTTTGTTGGTATTGTTCTTCGGTGAACTTTATTGTTGGGTAATCGATCGTAGTAGGAAATAGGACTTGAGCACCTGACAATTGCGCAGTGATTCTTTAGTTACTCGTACTTGAGTTGCAGCCACTCCGACTTCCAGCGGAAACCGGCCGGGATTTGATAGCAAGGCGGTGAATATGGGACATTGCGGGAGGGAGGGGGATTCTGCCGGGCGGGGAATCAAGAGAAAAAAATTTTGGATTGGGAAGTTGGTTTATCGCATTTGTTTTTTTTCCCTAGATTGTCTTTCCAGGTGATTTACTTCGTTTTTTATAAACTTGGTATATAGAGCTCTGTAAAGAGGCAGAGTTGCAGGTTCGTCTTGCTGGTTTTGACCCTAGACAAGGACCTGAGGTTTTTGCAAGAAGTTTTTCCCTGTGTTGGAGGGTTACACGCGGAGAATTTCTTATCGATTTCCGCCGCTACTCTTTTTTTTTCCTCGTTCTCTTTCGCTATCGCTATTATTTTTACCACTTTTGTTCCAAACGACAAAAGAAGGTGACGACTCACATTCAATATGTCGTCTATGATCACCACGGCGGCGTGGGTGCGACAAGGTGTCGCAGCCCAGTTCCCTACGAAATATGAAATCAACGAGGAGGAAATGGATCGTATATCGAAGCTGGCGAAGATGCAGCTCGAAGAAGCGCAGGGTGACCTGAAGGCTGCACAGGAGGACGAGGCCATGGAGGAGGATCGGAAGGATGGCGGCGAAGATGCTATGGAGGACGACGAGAAGCCCGCGGCTGATGCGGAGAAGAAAACTGCCACCGAGTAAGTCGATATTAGTTCCTCCGTCGTTTGTTTGTTTATGGAGATTGCGGCCGTGAGAGAAAGAGAGATGATTTAATGTTTCGGGTTCATTACAGTGATGACGACCTGAAAGAGTACGATCTCGACCACTACGACAGCGACGAGGTCGATGAGGATGGCGAGAAATTCACCATGTTCGGCAATGTCAAGTCGCTGGCGTATCACCAACCGAACGAGGAGGACCCGTACCTGGTTATGCCGCCGGAGGAGGAGGATGAGGAAAGAGAGGAGTTGCAGATCATGCCGAAGGATAACCTGATTCTGGCTGGTAAGGTGGAGGATGAGGTCGCCCATCTCGAGGTCTACGTCTACGAGGACGCCGCCGACAATCTCTACGTACATCACGATATCATGCTGCCTGCCATTCCTCTGGCCGTGGAGTGGCTGGATATCCCCGTTGGCAAAGCCGCTGAGGGCCGGACCACGGGAAACTTCGTTGCGGTTGGAACGATGGAGCCGGACATCGAGATCTGGGATCTTGACATTGTCGACTGCATGTATCCCAACGCCATCCTCGGCCAGGGTGGTGCCGATGCGGAGGGCAAGAAGTCGAAGAAGAAGAAACCCAAGGCCAACGACGAGTACCACATTGACGCCGTGCTGGCATTGGCTGCCAACCGGCAGCACCGCAACCTGCTGGCCTCCGGCTCGGCGGACCGGACAGTCAAGTTGTGGGACCTGCAGACCACCAAGTGCGCCAAGTCCTACTCTCACCACACCGACAAGGTCTGCTCGTTGAACTGGCACCCCACCGAATCTACGATCCTGTTGACTGGTAGTTACGATCGGACCGTGGTGGCCGCGGACATGCGCGCGCCCGACTCCAAGGCTCGCTGGGGCGTGGATACGGATGTCGAGAACGTGCGTTGGGACCCTCATGACCCCAACTACTTCTACGTGACGACCGATGGCGGTATGGTGTACCGCTACGACGTGCGCAACATCCCCGCGACCCCCAAGGAGTCGAAGCCCGTGTGGTCGCTGCAGGCGCACGACTCCTCCGTGTCGGCCTTCGATATCAACCCAGCTATCCCCGGCTTCCTGGTCACGGGATCGACGGACAAGCAGGTGAAGCTCTGGAATGTTGAGAACAACAAGCCCAGCATGGTCGTCTCGCGCAAGTTGGAGGTGGGCAAGGTCTTTTCGACGAGCTTTGCACCGGATGCCGACGTGAGCTTCCGCCTGGCCGTGGCCGGCAGCAAGGGCGTGGTCCAGATTTGGGATACCTCCACCAACGGGGCGGTGCGTCGCGCATTCGTGTCGCGCATGCCGTCTCTGGAAGGCGAGGTGAAGGAGCGTATGGTGGGCATGCAGCCCGATCAGGATGAGTCGGACGATGATGCTGGACAGGAGATTGGCGGTGGGCACGGCGGCGATGGCTGGGAGTCGATGGATGAGGATTAAGGCGAAGCGAAAGCACGTGATGACGAAGATCGAGACAATTTCATGTCGAACCCCAAAAATTTACGAAGATATCTAGATAGTTTTGTCGTGCTTCTTTTTGTCGTCTGTTTCTTTTCATAGTTCTTATTGACCTGCAATGAAAACGTCACGATACCCATTCAGAGGATGAAACTGGAATCGATGATAAATACTTGGTAACTTAAGCGCGGACGGGGGATCGCCCGGCCTGGCAACGATCGGCTGTTTGGTTTACCGAGAACAGACATTGTCCGATGCCTCAGGTTGAGTGCGGTACCGATCACATGGTGTGTCTGGCCTGGCTCATCCTCGGAATCCATTCAGCAAAGTTTGACAAAGTCCTACGTACGGAGTACCGACCTGTTTCTTGCACTCGGTGATACGGAGTACAGTACATAAGGTACGTAGTTACGGAAAGGTCGGAGAGTACGGAATACGGAATACTATCACCGGTGATGTAAGGAATGAATGAATGAATGAAACGGAAGGTAACTGACTTTACTGATCACCTCCGTCCGGTGACGCACCTAAACCAGTGACAAGACCACCACTACCACATCACACCAAGAACCCAGCTCTATTGAGACAGGGAATCTGATGCAGGGGATCTGAGCCGCCGGATGTATCATCGTTAAGAGACGTGGTGGGAAAAAAAGAAATCCGCACTAAAAAAAAGCACAGGTCAACTGAGAGCCAATCTAATTGTAATTAAGTTGACCGGGAGTGGGAACGCTGAAAATCTCAGACTTGCCCACTGCCCGCAAGCGCGAACAGATCCTGATCCTCTCCTCATGCGGTACATATTCTACACCATTCATTCGGTCAGGGGTCGACCCCGGCCGACAACATGAGCTGTGGAACAACAAGCATGGGTAGCTGAAAAGGCTAAAAGTAGCCAGAACCAGAACCAACGACGTGAACTGCATGCGGAAGGGGGAAAACAAGCAACGTCATGCGGATATGAGCATCCGTCACAGAGTCCGAGCAGGTGAGACGGCAGTTTGTTTCATCCCCACCGCTCAGGGCACATGGCGGTTTCCAGGAGGCCCGCCAGGGCCGCCACCTTGCCTTTCTTGGCCCAGAACCCGAGTGGACTGGCCATCGTCGCTGCAGTGCAGTCCCGTGTTTGACCACGCCCGCTTGGGTTTAGATGATTCCGACTATCTCGAATCACCATCGTCCCAGACGACTACAACACGGAACTTTTACCGTTCAATGAGATTTATTTGTTCTTTGTCCGTCAAATTCTGTTTATCCCCAAATCCCCCGTACCGTTGGGATTTCTAGGTTAGCTCGAGCTTTTAGCTGAGCTGGTCTTATCGTGGCATCTAGGGTTCATCAGGGTCTTTATCCCTTAGGTCCTTGAGTTCGTGCTGGGGAGCATAAGCATGGCTCGTATAAACCCATAGCTTACATCGTAGATTATAGTTATGGTCTCCATGTCATGCTGGATAAGTCCAGTGTACCCCACCTTCGACGCCTCATGTATCATTGGCCACCGGGCGTAGCACCTTTGCCGTGGCCGATTTGGTACTGTGGAATCTTGATGAACACTCCTGCAGGTCGAGACTATTCGATCTATGCAGCAAATCGCAGCGCACGACTAGCCGCGCCTGACTTGCCTGCGCTGCCCGTCGGAGCACCGGAACAAAAAAAAA